TCTACAATGGAATGGTTCACAAATAAACATATCCAGGTGTTAGAATGGCCAAGTCAAAGTCCAGACCTGAATCCAATCGTGAATCTGTGGAAAGAACTGAAAACTGCTGTTCACAAACGCTCTCCATCCAATCTCACTGAGCTCGAGCTGTTTTGCAAGGCGGAATGGGCAAAAATTTCAGTCTCTTGATGTGCAAAACTGTTAGAGACATACCCCAAGCGACTTACAGCTGTAATCGCAGCAAAAGGTGGCGCTACAAAGTATTAACTTAAGGGGGCTGAATAATTTTGCACGCCCAATTTTTCAGTTTTTTATTTGTTAAAAAAGTTTGCAATATCCAATAAATTTTGTTCCACTTCATGATTGTGTCCCACTTGTTGTTGATTCTTCACAAAAAATTACAGTTTTATATCTTTATGTTTGAAGCCTGAAATGTGGCAAAAGGTCGCAAAGTTCAAGGGGGCCGAATACTTTCGCAAGGCACTGTAGCTAAAAAAAACAGGAGCAACATCACGTCAGCATGTGGAATAACCACATTCCAAGGCTCTCAGTGGTTTGAAGTCAATGTAATTGTTTTTGAAACTCTGTGCAGGTGACCATTTAGTTCAGAGGAAAGGAACACAGTCTCGGGGTTATGAACAAGGTTTCATGAATAAAGATTTTTCCACTGTGGCTTGTAACATCCCACATTATATGATTACACACAAAAACACTCAAACATAGGCATGCACACATACAATACAAGACTTCCACATTTTGAGTCCTTTTTGCAATTTTTTGATTCTGTATCTTATAATTCTGAATTAGAATAACGGTCTTCAGTTACATGATTTTGGCAAAAAGTGCTTTGATTTTCAGTGTGCTAACAGAGCCTGCTTTACTGTACTTGCTGTTAAGGGAAGAGGAGATGGAAGCTAGGAAATGGAGTACCATGGAAACACAGGCTTCTCAACAATAGGGCACCACAAGCATATATCAACACATCCCCATTGTTCTATTTTTCTTCTCAGCAGAACCCATACAAGTGTTTACATAAATGAGCCAAACAATGCTTTTCCTTTTAAATTCACTTTTCTACTTTTTTAAACACATAGAGTTTGCTTTCAAGAGCTTTATGTCTGTAATTATAAAAATGTGGACACAATTTTTTTGGAGGATCAAAATATTTTATTGTATTTTTATTTTTTGCAGACAGAATAAAGGGTTATTTGAGAATATCAAGTATGAAATAATAAAATGAGTTCAATTTTCCTTAAACAGCCTCCTGCGGCTAAAGCAAACTGAAATGACATTAAATATAAAAGAATTACAAGGAGCAAAATCAAGAGGAGAAAAAAACTGTTTTTTCATTGTTTAGGGCAGACTTGTGGGACTTGTTGAAGGCATTCAGACATTTTGGGAACTTAGACATAACCTTTGACTTGTGTGGCAGGTGCCCTGCGAGGACTGGTTTCTCCACTGCTGAAGGTGGGTGATCCTGGGATGCCAGGGGGACTTGACCCAGCATAGAGCAGAGATCCCCCAATAAGGAGCAAAGCTGAAGCCCCCCAACCAATGTAAAGGGCAGGGCCAAGCTCTCGCTTGTGTGGAGCTGCCACATGTGGGTCATAGAAATCCTTGATGATAGAGTGGGCAGTCCAGCAGACAGGCACAAGGTAAAGGAACCCTGCAATGGCAAAAAGGGCTCCAGAAATTCGAGCAATACGGGCCTTGAGGCTGTTTATGCCAATGCACTTGGTGCACTTGACTCCTAGGACCCCCAGAGCCAGAGCCAGGCCACAGATCAGGATGGAGAAGACGGTGAGGCCTCGGGCAGCTTGCATGTCACTGGGAAGAGCCAGCAGGCTGTCATACACTTTACACTGGATCTGACCTGTGCTCTGCACAATGCAATTCATCCAAAGGCCCTCCCAGATTATCTGAGCTGTCACTATATTGTTACCAATGAAGGCAGTGACCCTCCACAGCGGGATGGCACAGACTACCGCCCCACCCACCCAGCCCACAATGGACATGATCAGACCCAGTAACTGCATGCCTGTGGTTGCCATGGCAAAAGCTGTTGTTGGACTCAAATGGATTTATCTTGATTTTATATCAGTTTCTGTCTGTTGTAGTGGTCCCAGTTATAGCCCCAAAAGTGATGTGACACTCTGTAGTGCAGAAAATGTTGTGCTCCTCTTCTGGATCCTCAGTCTCTGGGTGATGATGTCGATGAGTTCAGTTTGGTTTAGATAAAGTCAGGTATCCTGTAATTAAGATAAAGTAGTAAAATTAATTTAAAACAATTTAATTAAACATACATTGCAACATTCACAGATACAAACATATCATAATATGTTCCTTATAACTGTTTACAGCATTATGTTTGTAAAGTAAGAAAAGACTATGGAGCATATATCTATCATAACTATTTGGAAACGGGCTGGGACATCCATGTCTAGTGGATTCCAGTGGGAACCACAGAGAATAGCTTTCTTTGACACAGCTGTGGGTGTCCAGCTACGCCTTCCTGGGAGAGTGGATTATCTCAGAAAAACATGAGGAGACTCTGAACACAAGCAGCTTTTATGAAGGCTTGTAGAGTAGGCCAGGAGGACCTGCATCATCTATTTATTACAGCTTTCATTATCCACATTTTAACAATTCTGTGACCCAAACACTCACAGCAGAGAATGAATTTAAGGAGTGTCTGGTAGATGTCAAAGGGATAAGTTTTACCCATTAGAACACCATTAGATGGGCATTTACCCATGTGAGAGGATTAATGTACAGTCCGTTTTGCAAGTGGGCAGATAACAATGAACCATATCAATCCTCAAACTCAGAGTAACCATTCTGACTGACATTCATTCTCGCAGTGTTGCTAATGGCCCTGACTATTACTTTTCTGGCAGCTGCTGCAAACATTTCACTGAGGCAAGAGCAGGTGATAGCATCCCTAACACCTGAATAAGCACTGGGAACACTGAGACTAGGGGCTTCAGCAACTGTGAGGCACCTAAACACAGAGTACTAGGAGGATTCTTTGTATTCCATCTATCACATATCACACAAATGCACAGTTTTTTAACACACAAAAATAGTTGTTTTTCAGTAAGGGGGGCATTGTGGAAAATGTCACTAATGCACCAATACAGATATTTTAAGGATATTTACCTCAAATTAGGTTTGTTGGGCTCTAACTCCTGTCCTTGGAGATGATCCACAGGCTAGTGTTACTGGTCCTTGGCTTGTGTACATCAGTTGTGGATGCCTGGAGTTGTGAGCGACAGTCCTGAGAATTCAGTGCAGCCCACAGAAAGGATGCAGAGCAGAGGAGGCTTTATCTCAGAGGTCAGGTGAACTACAGCAGAGAGGGTTCAGCCTTGACACCCAGAACTGGACTGGGAATGGGGTTGCTCTCTCTGAGATGCCAGCTCAAGTCTGTGTGGCAGTGGGCAGAAGCATGCACTTGTGTGCACGACCGTGTCAGTATGTGTTTGAGTGTGTCTCCCAGTGCCTGGTGGATGAGCACAATGCCCTGCTGTTTTGCCGTGCCCTCCCTCCCTGCTTCTCGTCAGTCTCTGTCCCGACCCTGCAGACCCTTACATCCATCCAGCTCAGCAACCCATTTTCTCTTTTTTGACTTTGACTCACTTGTTCTTTTATGAGAGCCTTCTCTTTTCTTCTACTCTCCTCTTTTCTTTTCAATCTGTTTACAGGTTTCATTGAAGTTTTCAAGTGTATGGAGCCAGTCCTTATGCAACCCCTTGTTCAGTGTTCTGACAGGGAGATGGCCAAACTTGGGAGGGAAGAACTAACAGATGTAGTTCACTGTAGATTGTTACATGGATATTAAAATTAATACATATATTTTTCATACATGATAGAAACTGAAAGAATAATCACAAGTATAATAACTGTATTTATACTGGAGATTTGTAAATGTAGTATTGGGTTTGATGTTCATATGTTGCAGAAATTAGAAGAGATGATTAGCGGAGCAGCATTTTTGCCACCATGCAGACGACCAGGACTGAAGAATGGATGAAGCCTGTCGGTGAATTTATCTGTGAAGGTGTAAATGTGAACTCCGGATTCTGCACAGAAGAAGGAAACATGGCCCTCTGTGTAGTCCAGAAACATGCCCACCTTCCTGGGTCTCTGTTCTAGAGCCACTGAGGTGACAGGAGAAGTGTTGGCAATGTACTGGCCACCAGGCTTCAGGCTTAAAATCCAGAAACCATTTGCAGGGCAGACAGTAAACTTCCCCTTCCTGTTTATGGACTGTCTGACAACACCCAGGTTCCACTCAATCTTCTCCCCGACCTCCACCTCCCAGTAGTACCTCCCACTGCTGAAGCTTTCTTTAGCCAGCACGTTTGCCACACGGTCAAACCGCTTGGGGTGATCTGGTACCTCCTGAAGCTTGTCTGTGTGCCTCACTTGTCTTCTGTCATCTGAGACAGAGAGGAAGGGGTGGGCTGTCTTTGCACTTAGCTTGACATCAACTAAGGGAGAAGGAGGGTTAAAGGTCAAGAATGGGTCAAACCATCACAACATCTCTTTTATACCTCAGAATATAGTTCTGTATTGTTACAACTCATTACACTATTAAAAAAAAAGCAATGTGAACTTGTTTTGAAGACATTTGTAGCAATAACCTTCACCAGCTTAGAAAAATATAGCCCTGAAAGAGCAGCAGGATTGTTGTCCTCTGCATATGACCTACTAATTTAGGGCTCAATTTTAAAAATATCAATGCAACAGAATGCTGAATTAAAAATGTCAGGTTTTAAAAACATTACGAGACCCTTCTCTACGCTTCAAAAACTCAGACTCTGCTTCTGTTACCAAAGGGAAAACATAAAAAATCTCCCCCTTCTCTGGCCTCCTCTCATACCCTAATAATTTGTGTACAGTCCATTATTTTCATGTATGTGTAAACTAAGCCTTACCTGTGTAGTTTTGTATTCTCTTAAATTCTGAAAAGGAAGAACCATAGAAAAATGGCCGTCACTCTCACTGAATTTAGTGTAAAATATTGAATCAATATCTAAGATACAAACTGCTTTACTGACCTGATTTGGAGAGCCTGTTGACTTCTATCTTTATTGTTTCCATTATGTTGGACAATGCTTGTCTGGCAACCCCAAGACAAGGGTCAGTTTCTATGGTAACCTTGGACCAGTCCTTCATTTCAGTTGGGCACACAGTGGAAACAATGTTCTACATGGCATTAGCAAAGTCATAAACATTTCACTGATGGCAAATGCCTCATCATCATTATCACTATGTTACAGTACATAAAGATGCTTACCAAAGTAACTTGCTTTGAATCGTCACTTTGATCACTGTTAGTAAGCTGTGGATCAGCTTCACTGGTCTCGTTCCTCAGCTCCTGGATCTCCCGTTCAAGCTCTTTCACCAGAGTGTCGACCCTTGTCTCCTCCTCTCTTTGTCTCTCCTCAATTGCTGTAACGACCACTTTGTGACTCTTCTCCATAGCAATTACCAGGGCAGAGAAGACCTTTTGGCTTTCTCGCACCTCTCTCAGGTAAGAGCTCTGGTTGGACATCAGTATCGTCATCATTCAGCAATGCACATTTTAAGAATAAGGATTTTAATGGGGTTATCTGTTTTAAAAGGTTTTTTAATGCACCTTTTGAAGTTCGAGTGAAGACTTCAGCCTCTGTATCTTCTGAAGCCTTTCCTGAATCATTTGGTCAACATCTATAACCTGTGCATATGCAACAATGATACAACTATAGACAAATATGCTAAATGTATTTATTATCACATTATTAAATAAATGACAAGAGCAATAAAGTACCTCTTCCTCATCAGGCGGTTTCTCTGTTCGAGTCTTCCTGTAGTTGTCAGAGACCTCTGCTAGAACATGGTTGACACTAAGGTCAGGTTTGTCAGTGAAAACTCTTCTACAGTGGGGGCAGTATTTGGAGTGGTGTCGATCCCAGTAGTGGCAGAGGCAGGACAAGCAGAAGCTGTGTCCACACGGTATGGTCACAGGGCTGGTGAAGATGTCTCTACACAGAGAGCACAAGAAGTGCTTCTCAGGGAGGAGGCTGATGGTAGAAGCCATACTCTGAAAACACTAAGAAGTGATGTCAAAAAAAGTGTAAAAAGACGTTTTGTTACTGTTGTTTTTCATTCAAAGGCCTCTCTGGCTAAGATTATACTTAAGGGAATGGCAATGATTGAATGGTAAATAAGGCAACACAGAGAAAATCAAGACTGAGAACTTGAGAAGTGCCTGTAGAAATATCTGATAAACAATAGAAAAGAGATAATCTTTGTAAACATCTAATGTATTTGTGGGGTTTTCTTCAGGAACAAATGTTATAATAAAGTAAAAAGCTATTAGATCCAATAGTAACTTAAATCTAGTGTATATTAGTCTATCTCTAGTATATATTAATTATTGACTATAATACATACGGTATATATGACCATATGATGTGAAGGAAGTACTTATGACATTATTATAGATTGTATTAGGGAACAAACCCCTCCATAGGGGTCAAAAGGTAAACCTGAAGGGTCATGAAATGATTCCTGGGGTAATAAATTAGAAAAAAATTTGACACACAAATGTAAAATTTTGGTGGAAAAATGTATAAAAATTCCTAACAACTCAGACTTTTGAAACATGGCAAGCAGCTCTACAGATTTTTTTAAATGGTATCACAAGCCAAAAAGGTTGGCAACTGCAGGTGTGAACTTTAATAGTAACAATATCTCCCTCTGAAATGTAGTAGAGCAGATGTATGAGGCAGCAGAAGTGCCTCAAAGCAGTATTTTAGTACAGTACTTAAGTAAATGTATACTTCTGACTACTGTATTCAAGTACATATTGTTATATGGCTGCTTTTAAAAGCTACATATAGCAAATGTGACAAACATTTGATGAAATGTGTTTTTATGATAATGCTGTGTAATAACAAATCAAATATTCAATCTTGAGCTACAGATACAACCATTTACAGGGTGGAGTCCACCTTGGACAGGTCGCCAGTCTATCACAGGGCTGGCATGCAGACAAACAATCAAACACACTCACTCCTACGGGCAATTTATAGTCACTAATCAACCTAAGCTGCATATCTTTGGACTGTGGGAGGAAGCCAGAGTACCCGGAGAGAACCCACGCAGGGAGAACGTGCAAACTGCGCAGTAAAAGGGCCCGGGTCAGCTCGGGCTCAAACCAAGAACCTTCTTACTGTGAGGTGACAGCTCAAACCACTGCGCCACTGTGCCACCCCCACACAGAAATGTGAAAACAAATGTTTTCAACCATGCAGTTCTCAGGCTCCCAGGACAAATGGGACGTCATGTTCTTAAACACATTATCATTCCACTTATATTATATAATAATACACAAAGAATAGCTGTATTAACGTTCGTTTCACTGGTGAAAGCTTCCAATGGTGAAGGAGAGCCGTCTGTTCATTTTCTGCCACAATGACTTTTTTATTGACATTGTTACAGAAGCTTGAGTTCAAAAGAATTTCTTTGTGAGCACATTGACTAATAGAAAATGGAAGCAGCGGAGTAAAACAAACAACATAAAGTATGTAGTCAGACAGGTAGCAGTCAAATTGTTTGTGATGTCAGTGGGAAGCTACAACTCAATACAAAACAACTTCTATCTATCTAAAGTTGTTTCTCATGAGACCTGTAGTTTTTAACTTACTTAACTCTGACAGCCATGCAGGAAACCATCTTAGATTATGAAACAAGTCCATAAATGATTTAGTGAAACACAAACCAGTAAAGAAAGATTCATTGTCTTACCTTTTCCAGGTGATCTTGTCCAGGTAATGCTGTGGTCGGCGGTCACTGCGTCTGTTCTCAGGTACAGGTAATAGCAAAGAGAATGCAAATGGTTTCCTCTCAACAGGTGCACTAAGAAGGAGGAAGTGCTTTGTGCGGTGGCACTCCCAGCTGAAACTCCACCCTAAATGTTATCTGAGCTACACTTTAACCAACAGCAGGACATGAAGAAATGTTGGAGGTCAAATAAAATGTTACATGGTTAACGAATGAGGGCAATCCAAACAGCAATGGTACTGTCAGAAAGCACAACCACTTTTATTTATAAAATATTAATTTACAGTTTAAATCAGGCATGAAAGTCATTGTTTTTCATCATTAGTAATCCCCTTGAGCTCAGTGTCTGCCGAAACACTAGCACAGTATAGAGCAGTACAGTATCTAGATGTTATAACTCTTGGAAAAGTAACAACATACAAAGAAGTATGGGAGTCACGTTCAACATAGAAGGAACTGTACATTCCATTATCTAATCTGGTATCAAGCCATCTGAAAACTACTGAAGAAACCGTTAAACACAAAAAGCACATGATGTAAAATTTTTCTTTTCACTTCCTTCCTTCCTGAAAAACCAGTCATAATGCCACATTGTTATGTTCGAGGAGTTGCAAAGAAGCGATTGATAAAGACTGAGTTGAAGTTGAGTCTGGCAGGAGGAGTTACTTTATTCTCTATATGACTTATGGCTACCTGGGCTGTTCCTCCCGCTGATCCTCCAACCGCACCACCTATGATCCCATAGAGAACCATTCCCCCTGGCCCCTCTATAGACCCAACCAATGCTCCCATTATGGCTCCCACAACCAAACCAGTCCCCAGTCCTCTGGCCAGGGATGCTCTGAGCCAGCCATTGCTCACTTCTGCTTTAGCTCTGATCTCTGCACCAACACTGGCGGTGTAGGCGTCTTTCTGGTGATACAGCTCTTCTGCTATGTATTGCTTCTCCATCTTAATCCATACCTTTTCAATCTCTGCTGCTCTCTTTTTCCTGAGCCTCTTTTCCTCCTTCTTCACGCTGTCCTCTGCTTTCTGGAAGGTTCTGCTACAAAAGTAGCCACCTCCTAAAGAGGCC